CTGTCTGGTCAATAACAGTAAATTTCAAACAAATACGTTTAGCCATTGTGTAAACCTTGTAACTGTACGGTACTCAGCGTTACTTTGTTTTCAGCCTCCGCAGTGACACTTCTGAGAATTACTTCTGACGACCGTGCCATCTCTCCAGTGTTTGCTCCGACAGCAGCTTTTTGACTGCCTTCTGTTAACTTTGTTCAAATTTTTCTTCAAACTCATAAATGTCCCTTGTTGCCCTGAACTTGTTGTTTTTTAATTGTTGTTGGTAAAGTTAATTTCAGCACAAACAAAAGTGACAAAAATGAGATCAGCTTGATGAGAAGAAAGTGAGAAAAGGATGCCATAAAGCAAAGAATGCAGTTGAAATGTCCTTTTTTTAATGGAATTAGGGTCAAACTAAAATGTTCATTTTAATTGTTACATGATTCATTCATGCAAATGATAAGTGATATTAAGCATTTTATGCTCATGCTGAAACAAAACGTCCTATAGAAATACTATGTCATATCTAATAAGTTCCCATTTGTTTACATTGGTTTCATCCGTAGCTTCAGTCATCACAAAATATAATGAAATATTTGTGTGTTTCTGAGATTTAACCACTTTTTGCCAATTTTTTTAATGAAAACCAGAACTGTGAAAAAAAGTAAAAATAATTTAAAATCTAATGATTTTTTTAAATGTGTTGTGTCCAGAGGACCTGTTTTTAGGGTGAATTGTAGTTGCCTTGGTGTATCACAAATAGGCATAAAAATATGTTTTGCTCACTTTGTAATTCTTGTGTTATGGCATAATTCCTAAAAAAAAAAAAAGTTGTGATTTTTGTCTTTATGCACAAAACATGCAGAAACAAAACTTCCTCATATAATATTTCATAAGTCACATTTCTTTATTTCATCCTTGGCCTCAATCCTAACAAAATATATGAAAATATTTAGATGTTTCTGAGATTTATCCTCTTATTTCCCCCTTTATAGCAAAACCAGAAATGTAAACTAATGAAAAATTATTTTTTTTGTGTTATGTCCAGATGTTTTGTGGATGAATTTTCAACACATTGGAGTGTGGCATTTATTTTTATTTGAGCACAGCATTTATTTGTCCCACTATACATGGGGGAAATACACAGTCTAGTGGAAAAAATTAAAGCTTAAAATTAAGTCTGTGACTGGTCTGGGAAGCCTAACAGAATAATTAAAATAATTAAGTAACAGCTAATATTTAGACTTGTTAGAAAGAAATTATTTACATGGGAGTCAATGGCACAAAAAATGACAGAGGAGTGAGAATATTTTACCATTATTTAGCAATATATTAAATGTAGTAAATAAAGAAAATAAACATTAATTCCCCTAACCCTAACCCTGCGCAAAAAAAAAAAATGCACTAGGAGCATACAAACCCAGTTGTTTTTCTTAAATTTGCTAATCATTTTTTTTTTGGCCTTAAAGTTCTGCTTCTACTTGCTTTAAAAACCCATGTTCTCCCCAGATATTGACGATGCAAACACACAACAGTTAATATATTGATCCTTTAGAGTCCAGGGATCAGAAAGTGAAAAACTCCCAATAAATCAATGGGACATGTGCAGGATATGAGGTGACCTTTTGGGTTTGCTAATGTGTTTACCTATCTTGCTGCAGAAACGGCTACTGTTAGGATGGCGTTTGCTTGTTCTTTGCGTGATGTGACTGCCTGATAAACACGACTGTCTCATTGTTTTCCACACATTTCTGATTTTGATGAAAACCATTAACAAAGGAAATGTGTCTGTGTGGCCAAGGACTCCTCAACAATCCGCCCAAGGACTCAGCCGCAACGGAAGGGAATAATTTCCACCAGCTGTGCCTTTTCACGTTAGCTCTTGCCCCTTTCCCGACCACTCCTCCCCACGCAACAACTCCCCGATGCACTCCAAATGACAGAGAAAAGGAAATTATCGAACACCAATACAATAAAGCTGTCTGGTAACTTAATAGGCTGCTGAGTAGGGACACCGTGGCCATCTTAGCGATAATGAGAGTCATCATTCCCTCTTGGGTGAGAAGAAAGGGGGCCCATGTGAGGGAACATGCATTTGCGTGCGCATGCGTGTATTTGTCTTTGAGCTGTTTCAGTCCGGTGAGGCCCAATAAGCAAACAGCTCAGTGCTTCACTAAAGCCACAGAGAAAATCTGCTGAACACGGCTTAGAAGGAATCTTTGAGAAATTCTCTTCATTAAATCAGGCTAAAGTCCAATTGCTGTCTTTGTAAGCTTTAGGGAAATACAAAACATGCATTGTCTCGTTTATCAGATTCAGTCCCTCAACCATTTAGTGCAAGGGAAATTTTTTCTTATGTTAATAAAAAGAAGCTGAGAAAAACTGTGTTAATGCAACTCAATAGGAGTACTGATGTTAAAGGAAAAGCTGCCATGATGTATTTCTGCAGCTGACAAGATGTGTATTAACAGTGGACTTGTACTCTTAAAAATTCATTGTTACATTCAAAAAATGACTTTTCTTCCTTTTGATTTAAATCACCAGCTCATTTTAATAAATCACACAATTTCCAGAACAGCCAACGGAGTTTGATACACGTTAAAGACATTCCTTCGACACTTTGTGAGGTTTCAACATGTTCATCGACTGTGCAGCTGTAGTCCTCCAACACGTGTATTGAAATATTTAATTCAGGAATTCATATTCTCCATATTAGGCTGTACAGAGGCTTTGGCTGCAGAACATGTCAATGTGATTATTCAGATTTCGTGTTATCTCTTAGATTTAGTGGAGCGAGGGTGTTAGATCAAAGATGGCTAGGAAAAATGTGTGATGGTATGGCAGGCAGACGTCATAGGGCATTGAGCGTCCATCGTCGTGGTTGTATTAAATAAGAGACAAAGTCACATAAGTCACTTTAAAAAAGCTACACGCCAGCTGCTTCCATGCAGTAAAGTTGTTTCTGCTCACAAAATATATTTAAATTGGAGCTTTTTTCTGCTCTATTACATTTACTGCCCACACAAGAGTGACACAGCGCTGGGTTTGGTGACTTTTACAACAAATTAAGGGTTCAAGAGGCACGCTAAGGAAACTTTGACCTGTTGACTGTGCTGACTGCAGCTACCAGAGTCAAATGTGACTGCACAACACAGCAGTGCGCCTGAGGACACCAAGGGAGTATGGGTAATAGGGACCGCGTTGTGTTTACACCTTTGCCTCGTTAGCTTTTCCCTATTTGCTGATTTTGGACCCATGGGTGCCCAACAAGCATTAAATATTTAATGCACAGAAAACTGAAGGTTCAACGTATGTGAACATTACTGCTTTGTGAAAAATAAATACATACAAGGGTTTTCTCAGCTGGACAATTTATAAAGTTCTCAATGCGATACTAACGTATTGGTAAATGGAAATGTGTGGAAATATTTTATGGTGTGTGTGGTTGATTACGATATCAACATTTTAAAAGTCAACCGCTGATCCTGTTTGTTGTTCTGCAGAGATAACTTACTAATCCAAATCAATATTTTACAACAGATATTTGGCCTGAACAAATGACCTCAAACCCTTGGAGGGAAAAAAAGTGGAATGCATGTTTACTTTCTCTGTAATTAATGCCGACTGCATGCTGAATGGAGACCTCACTAAGAACATGATGGGTCTATGCTGGATCATGGCATTTTTTGTGCTTATTAAGAACACTTCTAGCATGGCAGAAAGCTATTTGGAAGCTAACTGTGTGCGTAATGTGGTGGCAGTTTTCATGACATCGTGTCCGCATGCATCAGCATGGCTTAGTCATGAAGCAGAGCTATCCATGCTGAACTCCTGTCTAGGTAAAGACCATCTGCATCATTTTAAGATGATGTGGTCTTTTATGAAGAATCCGGTAAAGATAAGTCTCACCCGGGGGACCTGGGCTTTGGAACAATGATGGGTATTTGCCATTTAATAATCATGGGATTGTAGTGCTGTTGAATAGAGTATTAAGACAATGCATAAGATGGTCTTGGTGGTACAAAATGTAGCGAGAGACACACTACTCTGTGTAGCAGATTTATGACTGCCTTCTCACAGAAGAAGGTTTTCAAAATTTGCTGCAATCAATCGACAAATTCAGGTCGTGTAGATCTTTAAAAGTGAAGCTGGTTCTTTATCCAGCTTGAAAGTTGACTAAAACATTTATTGATTCAATACTATTTGAATATAAACATCACTTACTCTTTAGATCACTTTTAGTGAAACTACCATTTGTGATAATTGAAATACAACACATTTACACATAACCAATATTTTTACCATTGTCCCATACTGTGATCCAATTTATCAAAAGATTCGGAAGCTTGCAGCTACACGATGTCATCGCAGCTTCAGTACAGCAAGTGTTTTGGACAGCTACCACTGTGATTGCTAAGCATCGGTAAAAACCCGGACAGCAAATTATCCCTGCTTCATGAACAAGCAAAATAATCTTGGCATTGCACCATGCAACGAAGGCAGATTATGGTTAGAGTCCACACACCCCCTACCCCATGCTGATAAACTGTTGCTGATAACAGAGAGTAAGAAAAACTGACATCATTAGGATTCACCAGTGTGCATGCAAAGCAACACAAGCAAACCTTCTCTAATCCCCTGAAGACTATCAAGCACTGTGTTTCCCAAGCATGGAGGTAATGAGAAAAATACTTATTACTCAAGTAAAAATGGCAAGAATATTAGCATCACATTAGGCCCTGGATTTAATGATGTTCTAAAGACTATATGTCACTGCTACTAAGAGGCAAAACAGACTAACAGAAAAAAGAGGAATGATGGTGTCTCAATGCAGTAGTTCAAAGGAAGGATGTAGAGGCATGGATAAGGACAATTACACTATATCTAACAAACTATGCATGACCTTTCCATGGAAATGCAAAAGTGGTATACGGAATCATTTGAATAAATGGAATGAAACTAATGGCATTAGGTGAAAGTCTAGTGGTGGTTGAGTTAGAAATGGGACCATCAGTACTCACTAAAGGGGTGCAAGGGGTCCAATATTCAGGATTCAGCTCTGCTCGCGGACGAAGGTCCAGATATTCAGGGTTCAGTTCAGTTCGGGCACGAGTTAATGTTCCCTTCATGGAAGATTAAAAAAGGTTTGTTAGCATTGCTTATTTAATTAAAATTTAATATTTAAGGGGAAAATAGACAATTTAAAATGTTCACACCTCCTAAAAAGAGCAATAAAACAATAATTATTAAGAAATAAAAAAAAAGTTACATTCATAAAAAGCAAAGAAAAACATTTTTCTACTTTTACCAATTTTTTTACGATTTAGGTAACACATTACAATAAGGGTCCCTTTACTAATGTTACTTGGTGCATTAATAAGCATTAACAAACTATTAAATAAAGTATTAACAACTGCTACATTATTTTTGTTAACATTTAGAAATGCATTACTAAGTAGACACCCCTCCCTAGCCCTTTGCCCTAACTTTAAGGACACTTGATAATTAAAAATATCGGGGACGTTTATACAGAGATACTTTGTTTATGCTTAATAATGCAGTAAGTTATTGTTAATAAGAGACCCTTTTTGTAAGTATTACCATCATTTGATTGTGAATTACAAAATTAAAATGTTTGCAGATATTTCAACAAATATGTCTTTTAAATGAGGTTAACAGGTATTATTTTCCATTTCAATGGCTCCATGTCCCGTGACATGTGCCTGCAGGCCAGTGGAATGGACTGAATCCGCTCGGCCCCGTGAGGTCTATGATATATACTGTAATTATCTGCTGATTCTCATAATGCTTGTGCGTAATGAGGCTATGCTGCATGAAGCCCCTGGCATAAATCACTGTCTTTAACTGACTTCCAGATGACCAACAACAACACAGAGCAGAAACGGAGAGAAAGGAAGAAATAGGTTATCTGAGAAGCACTACTATAAAATGGTGCTTCTTATCAGCAAACACCACATTGTCCGCCAAATTCATTTAAGACTTTTTTTTTCACTAAAAGTAGTCAGCTCACTTGCATTTTTGTTGTTTGTTCATTCTTGTTTATAGCTTGGATACCCGTTCATTACCTGCTAACAGCCTTATTTAGCAAGTCAGCACAGGTGGAGACCTTGTTAAGTCTGTGCTAGTCTCAGCTGTGTTGAATAGCAACATGACAGTCAGCCTGTCAGGCTGTCTGCTTTCCTTGGGGAAAAAAGCTGCTTTCTCACACACACACACACACACACACACACACACACACACACACACACACACACACACACACACACACAAACACACAAACACACAAACACACACATATGTTTTTTTTTAAATAAACGCACTTCTATGTAAATGTAGTTATTTATGGGAGCGTAATGTATCATTAAAAGTGCAATGCTGGGTAAAAGGTAAACTCACAAATAGATACACTATTCTTTTATGAGATGTGTGCTCACAAATGCATTAATGCAATATGATGACCATTTTTCTCATTCTGTGACAAATAAGGCACATTTCCTAATTTCATTTGATATGTGGTTTAAATTATTTCTTACTATCACAAAAAAGCATGAAAATGTAGATTTTGGAAAAATAAAGGGTCAAGTTGTGTTTTATTATGCAAAGTTAAAGATGTGGATTACTTGTTTAAGCAATACATTTGCAGAAGTTTCTAATTGAATTGAATGCCTTGCAGGCAAAACTTGGGGCACAACAAGGCCCACGAATCCCTGGCCTAGCAGGACCTAGACCCACGGTATTACCCACAATCCATTGCTGTGGGAGAAAAGGCACAAGTGCCATTTCAGAAAATATGTATTTTCAACTGAAAGTTGTAATTTTAGGATGATTAATTGATGCTCTGAATGTTTTGGACAAAGCAGCAATGAGTGATAATATATTTAAAAAAATTATTTGGTCTTTTGAAAGTTTTTAAATAAAGTTTTTTTTAATAAGTACACCATGCAATGGATTGGTCCTCTGTCCACGGTGTACCCCGCCTGATGCCCCCCACCCCCTTCCCCGCGACCCTACATGGACAAAGAGGGTTCAGACACTGGATGGATGGATAAATAAGTACAACCAGCATCTCGGCATGCATTGCGGTCGATGACACAGTGCTCCTTGTCTCAGTTCAGCAATTATTTGCACACTTGAGTACCACACACTCAAAGCCTAACTGCACACTTCCTCCAAGTGCACTTTACAGAAGACCATGGAGCAGTGCGAGTATTGGGATTGGGCCCAAGTCTGAAATATGAGATTTGGAGTCTTATTTCCTGATATTTAGACCTCTTGCCTCTGATTGGATAAAAGCACTAACTCAGGTTGCTTGGTGACATGGATGTTTTATCTCCACAAATATCAAGCCTAGAGGAGCTTCAGCTGGTTGTTTGAGTTACTAATGCTATCAGTTAGCTTCTGTTGAAAAATACGTTCTCTGCTGATTTTTGGACGCTAAAACGACAACAGCCTTCCACGTCACGAGTCAATATGGGTAAGTCTAATTCACAATGTGACGTAGATCTGTCAGGCTTTTCAAATCCTAGCGTTTCACCATCTATTTTCTATCAGAAGCTAATGCAGGAGATAGGTGTAGGACACTATTTTCAGCCTGCATTAAAAACTCTGAGTAAACAATATTAATCAGAAATTATCATTAAAAATGTTTTTTCAGTGAACCACATATTAGAATGTATTACCCCTCATTTTTCTATTGAATTATTTATTATAAAAATGTATAAAACAACAATCAAGGTACAACTTGACTTCCTTTTGTCAGTCATACTAATATAAATAGTTGTGTTTCCCAGTTTATGTCAGATTCCTGGACAGCTGTTATTCAAACCTCTAACAGGTGGTGATGCATTACCAACAGCAGGTAATACAACAGGTGATGGAGTATTATTTATAGTGCATTCATTTTACCAATTCATAAACAACAAGACTGAAACTGCCATAATATGTTGCTGCTATTTCCTCAGAAAAAAAAAAACAACTGAGTTTGTGTGGAATTGTATGAGTACCGCTTTAATTGTTGGGTTAAAATCAACGTTCCATTCCAAAAATGTTTTTGGACCATTTGAACAAGAATCTTTTCCCACAACAGTTTCCATCATAAATTCTTCCAATTACTAGAGAAATACAAGGGGAATGGGTGTAACAGGCCTAAGCATTACTCAGAACCTCTGTCTCATTATGTGTCATCTTAATATACTATCCCACTTGTCTGTCACTTTAATTAATGACAGCGGTGTTCCATAAACCGCCCCGAATGTGGGATTATTTATTAGTACCTTGCCATTTATCACTAGTGTGATAAGTGGCAGGAGACGGGAAGTGAGAGTTGGCAACATTATAATTGATCATTTTTCACTTCACATTGTCGGAGCGATTGTGGAAAAATCCCTGGTTGGAACTGACAGCATCACATGTTATACTGTCAATGCTGACAACAAAAATAAGTTTCATGAATAAAACAGGTTATTGAGATTTATTGAACGTTGGCAAGAGCATGAGGTTTCAGTAGACTTCCCATTAATAAAGACAAAAAGCCAAATATCTCAGATCAAAACGATGTAAATAAAGATTAACAAATCAATAAAGATTGGGGAGCAAAACAAAATAAGGAGTTTGCTTTTTAGTGGTGTTGATAGTCATCTGGAGTAAAATTGGTTTATTAGTAAAATTGATTTTATTTTAAATTTACTAAATGGATTTTTAGGTTGAATAAACAGATGTTTGCCTAATATTGAATGGATCTTCCTTTTCAAAGTAAAATATCTCTTACTAGTCTAAGGGCCGGGAGTAAGAGAATAAAGTCAAAGGAAAGCTTGTAATTGTCTCAGTGGTTGGAACCAACAATAGATTTGAGTTCTGTGGCTTGTGGTCTCCTTGGACAGAGCTTACTTCAAACTGATACCATCACATCCCATTAGACATGGTTTCTGGGAGGTTTGGTGGCCGGATGAACATCTCAGTGGTAATATTTTTTCAGACTATTCCTCAGCAGGTTTTGTGGTGCCACTAGATGTCTTGAAAGAGGACTCCTATTTAAAGTGGAGTTCCATTGCAACGAGGAAAGATGGTAGAGGAGTGAAGCAAAAAATAACTATGCAAACAGTATAAACAGGTCCAATCCAAAGCCATTTATCCTGCTGAGGGTGTCAGGGTTTTAGTGTCTATCTCCAGCAGTCATTGCATCAAAGGTGGGGTACACCCTAGACCAGGGGTGGACAATACTGGTCTTTGAGGGCTGCTATCCTGAATATTTTAGTTGCTTTCCTACTTTAACACACCTGATTTTAATCAAAAGGAGATTAAAAGCTTCTACATAAGACACCCTGCTGAGCAGATGATTCAACCATTCAATTAAGTGTATTGGAACAGGGAAACAACTAAAACATGCTGGATAGCAGCCGTGGAGTTGCCCACCCCTGCCCTAGACACTAGCAACTATTTACACTTACATTTCATCTTCTTAGCTCTGCAAATCAAACCAAAGTGCAAGTTTTTGGTCTTTACTTATTCACTAATGTAGAAAGTGAAGATACAAACATTACATAAAAAGGCCCCAGCTGAGATGTTCTTACAAAACCAACAAACTTTACCAACTGAAGGCAGATTGATTTCAATCAATTTTGGAGCATATTTTAAAATTTGCTGCTTTCCAAATACATCCATTGCAGTACAATTCAGTCTTAGTAATTCTACAAATCTAGTTTATAAACAGTTCCCTAACTACATGAATATACTCCATGGTAAAAGTGTGAATATCAGTGATTTCACTACATATAGTAGTACTGTATTGAAAAGTATGCCACGCCCCTCTCCTATTGTTGTAGTAAAACTATGTTGAATTCAGAGAGCCTTTCGAGCAGTCGGAGGGAGAAGGTTGTAGCAGTAATGATAGCATTTCATTCATGTTTGTTTTATGTGAGATGAAACAGTGTTACACATCAAAGAACATAACCTTTGCTGTGTATGTGGGACTTAGCAAAATCTGTTTGCTGGATAGGCTTTTAAAGAAAACCTAATATCTAAAACAGTTGGGCAGTCCTGGTCTGTGAGTGCTGCTACCCAGCATGTTATTGTTGGTTTCCCGGTCTAACACACCTGATTCCTG